GACCAAATGTAGGCCAAGTTTTTGGGGCGATGAAGTCATGTCGTGGCGTCTAAGAGGCACGCACTGCCTGGCATAACGGAGCTTACCAGGCTCGACTTGGCGTCCGTGGAACGCCTAAGGGCACACACCAATATATTGCAAACAAAACTTAAACGCAAGCGAGGAAATGGCAGGCGAGGGAGCGAGGGAGGGCGCGCGGGGTGCACAGATTAGCCACAGGCGACACGCAGTCCAAACGCAGTCCTTCCGTCAGGCGCGAGAGCGCAAAACAAACTGTTGCTGTGTGCGGGCCACAAAAACAAAGCAACCAACAGCATCCCAACATGAGAGAGAGTAGTTGAGAGAGAGAGAGAGAGAGAGAGAGAGAGGAAGCGGAAGAGCGTAAACGCGCAACAGTGTGAAAGCTTAAAGCTTCAAAGGGATTACACGCGCTTAAAACATAAATCAATGTTTGGGCAGTTTGCCTGGATTAAAACAGGCTCGCTCACACTCACACACACACACACACACACACACACTCTCACTCTTGCGCTCTCTCTCTCTGCCACACGCACACACCTACCGCATTTCTCTGCCCATGCTGAAGCTTGAAGCCGCAACGCCATTGAAATCGCAACGCAGGCATTTTTTGTTGTTATTTTAATATAAATATTTTTTTTTTTATTTTTTTTGGATTTTCCTGCTCTGCTTGTATCAAGTTTATTTTTTTTTTTGGCCAAATGCGCACGTGACGCGCCAGCTAAATGTAAAGCGTTTTATTATATGGCCAACAATTTCACAACTAGCCAAAAATATGCTTGGTTACAAATTGACTTGGTTTTTGTTTGTTTTGTTTTTGTTTTGCTTTGTTTTTTTCCCGTCAATTTGTTTATGAATTTTATGTGTGCGCAAACCGATCGCTGACCAACGACTGACCAAACCAAGCCGACATCAACCAGCCATAAGCTGGGCCAAGCCCAAGCTACACATTAAAGCCAGGCTAACGACAACAGCTGCCTTTGTTAACAATACGCAATGCGAACTCTTTATGCTCTAAGCAAAAAAAAAATGTATATCAAATATATGCAACTAGATAAGTATGGCAGACTGGAAACGTAGGGTATTTAGCTAGTGTACTAAGACTGAGTTTTGATTATTAAACAATAATAAAAACTTCCATTTCCTTAACTTTCGTTTGAAATAATTAATTTTTCACATAATTCGCCTTGAAGTTATTTCTTTAAACATCCGTTAGGAACGTAGGGTATTTAGCTCGTCTACTAGGATTTCATAATGTTTATTTAAGAATTTAAAATATATTCCATTTTGGCTTCACTTTTGTTTGAAACTATTTTTCTATATTCAGTTCAGGAAAATAACTGATTCGCCTTGAAGCTATTTCTTTATATATCTGATAGAAACGTAGGGTATTTAGCTAGTCTGCTATGATTATTTATGAATTTTTTTAACGCATTTGCATAAAAACACTTCAAAGAGTATTCAATATAATTTAATCTATAAATACTTATGGCTCACAAGCTTGCAGCTAGCAAATGTGCTCGCTTGAAGTTAGGGCATAGGTTTATAGGCTCTTGCCAAAGCCATACATGACCTACTGCAATATGAGCTCAAAGTACTTAAGAAACCTCAAACTGTCTTTGCGTTGACTCTAAATGTCGCCATTGATTCGTTATTTTGCGCTTGAGCTGTCAGCAACTGAATGAACTGAAGAGTCTATCAATATATAGAGAAGCTAATGTTAAGAAGCCCAGCAAGTGGAGCATTAAAGTTAACATGAAGGAAATGCCAGAGACAAACAAAATAGAGTGAGCCCTATTTAAATCGCATTCAAATATTGCGCTAAGCCATAGCAAAGAGCTATGAATAGTTGAAAGCCCAAACAAAATAAAGAACTGCGCATGTAAACACAAGGGACAGTCAATTAATGTGGATAAGAATCACAGACATGACATGGAATCAAAGCACAAATAAACCCAACTACAATTATAATTATCTAAATATAGTTTCCGCATTTAATATGGACTATATAGTATAGACTTTATACTTATAGCGCATGCCATATAAATTTACCAAAATGTGTAAACAACTGACTGCTGTAGTTGACAGTGCCCGACTATGAGATACCCTGTAACTAATATAGATATCGGATATTTATAAAAGAATCTGTGCTTAAATAAGGCAACCATATGTAAGGCTATATCAAAGCGATAGGCTTTCACTTTAAAAATAATATATATACACATATATCTCGATAAAGCAAGGTGGTTTTTTAATAAGCGAAGAACCTAACTACCAAGTGTGTTGCCTCTAGGCCTCATAATCTACAAGTTATGCTCGAAAAGTTGTCTTTCTTTATCGATAGCTATTGATTATACGAAAATAGTAGGCATCCTCGTTCTGCTGATAAACGATAATATATATATATATATATATATTTTAAATTTCAAATCTCTAATTCGTATAGTTTTTGAGTTCGACCCCTTTAGCAGACAAACAAACGGACATTTGCACAAAATCAATACACCCTTTTCTAAACGCATACAGGGCATAATAATTGTACAGCATGTGCAACACTTGCTGCATTTGCTCAAATTGTAATATAATCAACAATCAACAAATACCCAAGAGTTTTATTTTTGTACAGAAACTGGTTGCGCCGAGGGAATGGGTGGAGGTCTATTAGCCGCTCTTGAGTGTGGCTGCAAGTGTTGCAAGTGTCGAACGCCGACGCGATTTGATGTCTCACCATTGTTTATATTTACAATCTGCTTTGGGCTGTTTTATACAAATTGACCCTGAGCACGCGCTGTGCTATTGGGATTGTGTTGTGCAACTTACCTCAAAATCTGGGCCGGGGTACGATAAACGTTTTAGCTTCTCAATTTCCTCCTTGAACTTTCTGCAAAATAGAAAACACAAAATACGTAACATTATTTCAGCTGAGAGGGTCAAGGTCAAGAGATCTACCTATTTTGCTCCTCGGCGCGACGTCGCCTATCAATTTCACGCTCCAATTTGCGTTTCCATGATTCATCATTCTCCGCTATGATTTCCAGGCAATGCTGCAATGTGCTAAGCACTCCGGATGTTGTGGCACGAAATGTAATGGACTCGCCCTGCCGGCAAAAGCAAACATATATATAGAAATAAATATACATAGATAAATTCTTGAGAATTATGGCACACACCTTGAAATCAATGGGCTTGAGGCCGTCGCCCAAATCGAGCGGCTGTGCATTGGCTTTATTCAGCTCGGAGCAGGCATCGAAGTAACGCTGCAGCGTCTCAATCTGAACGAACAGTATGTCCTTAAAGGTCTCCAGTTCGCCAACCTTTTCACGCAAATTGCGTTGAGTTTTCTTTAAGCTGCCGCCGCTGGCCAGCGATATGGTGTTCGACTGCAACGACATGGTGCTGCCATGGCGACGCAACGATGTGGTGTCCGTGCTGCCCGTGCCCTCCTTATACAGCTGCAGCACCTCCACCCAATGCATGCGATCCTCGCTCGTCTCGGCGCGCAGGCACCAGTTGTTCAGATTGTTGACGACCACATCGAAACGCAGCTCATCCGATTCGTGTGCCTGCGGTGGGAGTTAACGTACAATGAATCATTGTTTACAGTATAAATAGATCATTCTGATAGGCTATAGAGAAGGCACGCAGTCCCTACCAAAAAAAAAAAATTAACGAGTGCCATAAATGTCGAAACGAGTGTCATGGGCGGGGCAGGCCCTCTTCCACTTACATTGATGACTTCAGTTTGGTTTGTGTGTGTGTGTGTGGGGCCAACCACCATTTGCTGGCGACAGTCGACGTTAATTGATTGCGATGCATTGATTGCGGCGCAGGCGACGACGACAACGACGAGGGTTCATGGGATATGCGCACACTCACTCGCACCCATTACCAATTTGATGAGTTCAATTAAAAGCACTTGCGGGTCTGACCCCAAATATATAAATAAATACACATACATATTAAATACGCACCTTAATGGTGGCCTTGGACAGACTGATGGCGCCGCGGCAACCAAAGTCCGACTCCGATTCGGATTTGTAGTAGGAGAGCGTGCCATCCTTGAGCACAATATAGCGCGGCTGCCAGCCATATATGTAATTGGTCCATTTGCTCAAATAGCCGCGCAACTCAATGCTATTATCCAAATAGTCCTCATCCTCCGAGTTTTCGCTCTGTGACCCAGTGGCAGTCGCATCTGCGACGGACGGCGCGGGCGTCGTGCCGGTCGTGTTGTCCAGGTCGTCCATGCCAACAATGCGATGTATTACCTGTTACATGCCAAATCAAACAAACAAATGTGCTGAATAATCAGGGCGCCAGCAAAGATTACGGTATATTGCGCCACGTCCGCATGATATTAACAACAACAACAACAACAGCAACAACAAGAAATGCGGCGGCAACACCGGCCGCTTTCGCCTGGCAATCATCTGTCGCGGCGAGGTCGTGATAATACCTAATTCAATCATTATCAAACAATGGCCTGACGACTCTGACTCAGTCGAATGTTGTTGGTTTATTTTGTTGTTTTTTTGCTATTCCAATTTGCGTTTGGCCGGGTTTCGCATTGGCGTTGGCGTCGCATTTGCTATTTGCCTCGGTTTTCGCACCGCGCTGACGCTGTCTTTTTGGGCGTTCGTTTGGCTTACCTGCAACAAGCGTTTTACTGTTTGCTGTCGCCTTGCTCACACATTTGTGCGACACGTAATTCCACTTGGTGTTTTTATGTTTGTGCAAACTTTGTAAATAACTTAATCAGAAAACAAAAAAGCACCTTCAGGTCCGCAAGCGTGATAAACCAATCAGCTGTGCGTGTGTTATCGATACGCCTCTGTCATCGATACTATCGCCAGTTAGATTGACCCACGGCGCCAGTGTTGCAAAACACGCGTATGCTGAGCGCCAAAATGAAATCGATTAAGTTGAAGTTTATCTGGCATTGACATTTGATATGTTCGCCGGCGCATTTGTTTACCTCTTAAGCACATTAAGACTTTGTATACACAGTATCGATAATCCCAAGTGCTGCCCATTGGTCGAGCGCTAAATCAATGCGCATGCACAAATAACCAGCAATATCATATTAACCAAAGCGCCACAGCCACAGCAATTACTATTTACGATCCTCAAGTTTAGTGCAAAGTGAGCGTGTCGGGCTGCAGACAGCTTTTAATAATATGAGCGATCTTAAGATTGCGAAAAGTGATGACTCCATCAGTGGCAGAAGCTCGCCAACGTTTCTGCCGGAGGGCTATTCCCATTTTCAAGAGGGCATCAAATGGGTCTCCGATTTAATGGAGATAGAGGAATGCGATGACGGCTGGCTGCGGGATGCGGAGTTCATATGCAAACGGATAAGTGAGGTTATGTGCAAAAAGGATTGGATATATAAATTTGTGCTGGAGCATCTGCTATCCACCGCCACCTTCTACAGGGGCTCCAAAATCGATGTGCCCCTGGACTTTGAGCAATATCTGCGCTTCTATATGCCATTCCCTGTAACGCCCATTTTCAATATCAGCCAGCCTGGCTATATAAACCTGTACGCGCCCACCACTCACCCGATGATCACCAAGGGCTACGTTAATCCGGAGAACGTGCAGCTGCTGCTACGCGGCAATCTGCGCGATGCCATCAACCAGCTGAAGTGCATCTATTGCGACAGCGGGGTGCAGTACAAGCTGAGCTATCGCACGCACGAGATCGGTGATCAGGGCTTTGTCCATGAGATATTGGCCTGCGAGAAACGCGAATCGGGCATGCCCAGCATCATATCCTTTGTCTTTCTGCCGGCGCTCCAATTCAAGTTCGCCGACTTTCCGCTGCCCACATTTGTGCCCTCCGGTCCCGCCTGGGCGCACTGCAACAATGTCTACTACTGGCTGGCCCTGCTCCAAGTCTATCCGCAGTACGATCATCGCAGCTTCTGTCCGTATGTGCCGCGCATGCAGTTCATACGGGATGAGCGCATGGTCAAATATCGCAATGTTCTGCGTCTGCTGGTCAAGATCGGCATCGGCAACAATATACCAGATATTTCGGATATATTTGTGCTCAAGGGTCTGCACTTTTTTCGCCTGCGCTACAGCATGAACTGCGATTGCAATCTATCGCTGGCCACGCTCTTTATGGAGGTGAGTGGGCACATGACAGGGAAATACCCTGTAGCCAGTGCAAAGGGGGTATATTGAAGAATATCCAATATATTATGTACAGATATTCCGAACGAAGAACTGCGTAGATTTACCCATGTCCTTCGTCTATATCTTGGAGATTATAAGAGCTACACACTAGACATTTTAATTATATGTACTTCTATATAAAATAAGGAATAAGTTGATCAGTATTTATTCGATATTTTTCCGTTTTCATAATAACGATAAATATCGATTTCCAGAGCGATAAATGGTGATTTTTAAGCAAAACTCGAAGTTTTGAACTTATTTCCGAATTCCTCCTGAAATTAAAAAAAAAATACGCATTTTTAATAAAAAATACCCTGTAGCAAGTGCAATAGGGGGGGGGTTAACGATAAATATCGATGTCAGGAAAATAACAATTATTAAGCTTTTTAGGCATAACTCAAAATAAGAAGAAACTGAGCATTGCCAGCTTAGAGCTAGGCTTAGAGTATCTTCTAGGCGAGCACGCCGCACAGCAACTCACCTGCTTGCCTTCAGTCGATTAGCCTTTCTTCGTCCTTAATTGCAGCTGCTCAACATACACACGCAGATCATCTACAACGATGCCATGCAGAAGCTACTCATCTTCGGCGGCTGCCAGCAGCATTCGATGCAGGAGGCGCTGAAACTGGACACGATTGCACGCAACGTCTCGATGTTCTATTATATGAACTATATACACTTGGAGCACTTAAAGCATATGTTTGGGCTGATCTGAACGAACATAGAGCGCATCGCATTTCGAATTCTTCACAGATTGAAAGACTAGAACGGAGCTCAGATTACGTATACGCCGTGTGGCACAAACAATTGCTTCGATTTTTGTTTATATACATATAACTTTAGCGCGACAGCTGAGCAAACACATTTGTCAGCTGGAATTTATATATATATATATATATGTATATATATATATATATTTATTGGGTGTGTATTTCGATAATGCACTTGGCAACGTTCATGCGTAAATATGCCACAAATTTGTTTATTTACAGGCTATAACAAATGATACGCTAACAGCTAGAAAGTTAACAACGCCTACAGCTAACAATAAATAGTTACAGCAGAATAATCATTATCATAATAATAATAATAATAATAATAATAAATAAAATAAATTAGTGTATGTTAATTACAAGCAAATGACTTTCAATGTGCACTCATATTATTCGGCTTAAACTAGACGAGTTGGCGCGATTTTCACATATAGACCGCATTGCCATTGAGCTCCAGGTGGTCCAATTGCTGCTCCAGCTGCTGCTGCTCCTGATCCTGCTCGGCGCTGTTTGGCAGCAGCACCGCCTGCTGCTCCTGATACTCCCCCACAGGCCGGGTCGTTGTCGTTGTCGTCGTTGTTTTGTCTCTCGTCGTTGTCGTTGCCGCCTGTGCGCTGTATTTGTTGGCCAGCGCCTTGAATATGCTCTTGGGGCAGGCCTTGTAGTAGGGAAAACATTCGCCCGGCGCCTGTTTGCCCTCGCCCACGCGCTGGGCGCGCACATACTCGGGTATTAGCTCCGCAAACGGCGATTTAGTTACCCTATGCAAAGAGAAATAAAGTCAGAAAAGACGGGTGAAGGCGCTTCAGAAAGACCCTTCTTTCGTTTGGTGACTCTAAAACTGTACTACCAAAGAAATGCCCCTTAAACTGTCAATTCTGGAAAATATCGTATGTAAATTGCGGGATTCGAAAGATCTATTCCAGCTCATAAGCTGTGGCAGATAGAAATTCCCAAGAATCTGATTAACTGCGTCTGGCGACTCTAAGACTGTAAGCCCAACACAAAGACTTTCAAACTGTAATTATTGTTGGTGAGTTTGCGGGGCAGCGGGTAGAGGGAATCTCCAATAAACTCGCCAGCTGGAAGCCTTGGATAGATTTGACAATGCTGGAGGATTACTTATAATGTGACTCTAAAACTGCAAGCCTAAAGCAGTGCATTTCAAACAGTGACTTCAAGAAATCTAGATTTAAGCGATTGTTTTCTGTAATCTTCCTGGGATCGGAAACCAATAAGCCCCATTTCACGCTCTAAACAGAGTATAAGCAATTATATAAGTATTATAAAACTCACGTTAGAAACAGCTTGGTCATCTCGCCGAAGACGCCAAACTTGTCCAGGCTGCGTGAGTGCATCTCGCAAATGGTGCGCAACAGACACGCCTTCCCATCCATGCCAAAGGTGGCCAGAAAGTCCTCGACGACGCCATAGAGCAGGACACGTTCGCCGCCATGGAAGATGTGCTTCAGGCCAGCGGGCAGCTCCGGATACTGCAGCATATCCTCCACCCTAAAGGGTTTGCTGTCATCCTGCGTGCTGCTCAGATCACGTTTGCGGCGCTGCACATGCAGATAACGGGACACGTACTCGCCGACCATTTGGCCCGCGCCATGGCCAAAGGAGCGCGCGAAGAAGGGCAGATCGCCCAAAGGATTCTGATTGTCGGTCAAGCCGAGCTTGTCGAAGTCAACTGAAATTGATATCATTTTTTTTATTCAACCTCTTTTTTGTTGGTGAAACTTTTGCGACTCACTCGTGACGGGAAAACTGATGGTCAGATTGGAGAAGAAGCCCTCGGGCGGATGTCGCACCAAAGGCATCGCAATTGTTGGCGTAAATGTCAGCGAGGTGCCCGGCGGCAGCGCCAAGCGGCCATCGTCCGTGATCCAAACGAGACGCTTCTTGCGTATGTGCGCCGCACTCGCATGCGCAGTCGAGTCTAATTGCGGTTGGGCCTCCGCATCCGCCAGCAGCGGCGCCTCATGCATGGCCGCAGCTGTCCAAAGGCAAATTAGCAACAGCAGCAGCAGCTGCAGTTGCAGCTGCAGCTGTGGCTGTGGCAGCGGCAGCAAACGCAGGCGGCGGCACATACGCATGCTGCGTAATCAAGAGAATAGAAGAAAACGAAAGACTTAGACAACGAACTGGCCGCAATATGAATTATTTAACTGTTGTATAACCGCAACATAAACAGCATACATTCTGCTGCCAAGAACTAAATAACCAGCAACAGCTCAAATGGCAACTGGTTTTTTGGCAGAATGCCCGTTCGCCTGTTAACCAGTTTGGGAAAGCTTCGATTCGAAGCGTGGCTAATGTTTAAGCACCGTTAACAGCAGATTCTGATTGCAAGCAACAATTTGCAGCTAAACAAATGCGATATCAATGCTGATGCTGCTTCTTCTTCTTCATCTTCTGCGCAGTGAAAGCATCCAAAGAAATGGATATATCATTCTAGACATTTGGCCAAGCTGCCTAGTTTCACTCAAAGGAGCTGAAGAAACATGCCACAAATGGAACACTTTTAAACGGCCTGCCCGCCCCCTCCCCCTTCTCCTTCCTTCTCCTTCAACCACTTTAACACCATATTTGCGTTCAATTTCACGTTCACGACGCACTTTTACCTTGAGCTCTGGCACAAATATGTTGTTCTTGTTGTTGTTGTTGATGATGCAACCTGGCCGCACAGCCGGTTGCACAGGATTCTGGCAAGCTGTTCGGCACATCGAATGCATTAGAGCGCAGGCTAAATTCTAATGCACTTTCCCAGAGCCTATCATTTCAAAGGCCAACTGGTTCTAACCAGCTACTAACTGGCTCAAACATGATTTAGTCTTAGCTGCCGGGCAAAACATAAATTTTGCCAAGAAGAATGCGGCCGCTGCAAGGGTTTTTCTCTAGTCTCAAAGTTTCACCCCAAAAAAAAAAATGTAGTAGAAAAACCAAAAATTGAATTTGCATTTGAAACACAAAAGAAAAAAGCAGACAGACAGACAGACAACATGACAGGCGCAATGACAGGGGGGCCTGCTCAAACATTTAGACCATAATTAGCTGCCAGTGCAACAGGTGCAACATCTGAGCCTGAAAGAGAAACTGGGTCAGAATCGGTTGCAATTGCTGGGCGCATTTTAATTTCACAGCTCAAGAATTCGTTTTGTGTCATGTGGTGTCTATGAAATAAGTAAGAGTGCTCCAGGCGAGAGTGCATGACTAACAGATACCCTGCATGGCTATACAATTCGGGCTCTTAACAGAAATCAAAGCTATTTGCCTCAAACAAAAAAATTGTTTATGCTTTATCTTTGGGTTCGAACCGGCGCTCTAACTTTAGGTTCAACTCGTGCAACTGCATATACAAATCCAGTTTTTGGTTCAATTCTTGGCTTGTCAAATGAAATCGTCCCTTGGGGTTCGAACCTGCAAGTTCTACTAATTAGAGCTGCAAACAACAACTAAATGATAGTCGATGTCATAGAGAGATCGAGGCACTGATGCACACGAATAGATGCCAGAAGATAGTCGGATAGATTTAGTTTAATGACCTGATCGAGAGCTTATACAATTTATAGACAAGATGAAGCCAGGCCTGCTGCCTAGTTTGCAGATTCGCACTACCAAAATATACCCTATTCGAAGCACTTTCAATTAGTACAGGGTATGGCTGATCGCACTCGACTAGCTGCCGCTCGTTGACAATGACAGACGCGTCGGCCCGTGGCAGTGAACTTGTTAAGGATAGTTTTTGATTTCTATATAGCAAATCAGAGCAACGCCTCCGGCAACAAACAGTGGCACGCAACAGATGTCAGTCTGGCATGCAGCCAAGCGGCGAGCGGCGAGTGAAGAGTGAAAAGATTTGTAGCTTATGGCGAATTAGCGCAAGCGTTAATTGCAATTGAGGCGACATATACGAACATATTTTGTTTCCTGTTACACAGAAATGCAATCAGCAGGCAATTTAATGCAGCGACAACAACAATTAAAACAACAATAAAACGAGTCGATAAACAGAATTTTCGGCGACAAAATCGAAAATGAAATTGAAATTTGGGTTAACAGGTTGAGTGCAGGCAAAAAAACTTTATGGAAATTAAAATTTATCAACAAAAAGTTAAAAAAAAATAAGTAAAAAGAAGAGCAATGAGCACGCATATTGCTTGGCAGGCAAGTTCGTGTCCTAAGTCTTTTGTTTTATTGCATTGCAATATCGGCGCGGGCTCGCGTCTGGCGCTGCATATTTAATTAGAAATAAAAATACATTTTTTTGGGAAAGGCAATTGGGCAAAGGAAAGTGCAAGTGATGTCCACACACAAATATACATACATATATATACATATATATATATAGTCAGTCTTGCTGCGTGATGCGCATGTGAAAATTGGCGCTGATATCAAGCCGCAGAAATCAATCAAATTGAAACAAAAAAAAAAAAAAAAAAAAACAATTTAGTGTAGAAAGTCTGTTTTGTTAGCAAATTGTTTTGTGTGTCGTGTGTAATTTATTTGGCTGCCTGCACTTTGGCTGCTTACATAAGTCGTTGCCTTATCGGCAGATCTTAGTGGAACGTTTGGCTGCTCCTTGACCCAATTGCGGCTGCAGACGCGGGCACAGTTTTCTAGTCTTTGTTTATATGCCTTAGGGTCTTGGTTTTGGCTCATGAAATTCTCGACACGATTTTTTGTCACTATTTTTTTGTTTTTTGTTGCCAGCACGCCAACGCACGTTTTTGTTTGTGTCCTTAGCTGTAAACGTTTTGATTAGCCAGACACAGCGAGTGGCAGCAACCGCGCGCGCAAACGTTTCAAATTCAACTAAAACGGCCAACGGCTGAGCCAAACGATAAAAAGCCGCCACGACAATGCACGACTCAACGATGGAACGACGCGGGCGGACGAGACATTGGCAGAAGCTACCCAAAAGCCAAAAGCGACAAACCAGTATGAAAGACATGGACTTAACCAAGGCATAGATTGGCTGCCTGCCTTTGGCTTTAACTATGTGTGTTTGATTTCCTCTTGGCCAAAAAAAAAAATACTGACAGACAGACATGAGCTATGCTCTGGCTGGGCGTGCTAGGAAGTGCTGTGAGTCATAGTCCTCCAAAGATGTGGGTCGCGGCGCCAAAAAAAAAAAAAAACAAAAAAAAAAACGGCTCCAAGAGCAAATTAGTTTCACTTCGTTTCTTGGTTCTTGGCCCGGCCTTGTTCAACTTTCCATGCGAATCGAATGCGACAGTGCGTACAACCTATGCGGTTTTCCAATCCACTTGGTCATCAAGGCGTTTGGCCAGTTGTCCAATTGGCCAAGAACATGTTTTCTGCAGATGCGACAGCTTCCGTTGCGTTTATGAAAGTGAGTCTAGAAGTCTGACAATTGGGTTTCGGCTTGAAACTGGGTCAAGGTTCTGCATATGGTAAGAAGAAATCAAAATTTCTTTGGCGAAAATGCCAATGAAAATATTTTCGAACTTAATCAATATTTATTTACAGCTTAATTAAGACGATTTTGTAGTTTAAATGGCGCCATCAGTAAGTACGTGGTGAAAATTTATTGAGCCACATGTAAATACAATAAATCGTTATCAGAGGGCCACAAGTACGTGCTGTTCGCATTAATGAAGCGTCGCCAGTTGACAATTGACATAATTTCGCACACAGTCAATCGCTTTCCATTTGTTATTGCCTCATTTAAATAAGCCGCAATCCATTTTCGATCAGCTTGCATAATGTCGTAGGCCTCAAAACGTTTACAGCGTGCGCGAGACTCATTCAAATTTTAACGTCTGCCCATTAGTGCTGCCAGACAGCGCAAAGTTAGTGCTGCGCAACAGCGCAGCTGCGTTAAGTTTAAACGTCTGCACAGTATTGCGGCGCAGTGCTGCCAGACAGCGCAAAGTTAGTGCTGCACAACAAAGCGACCCGTTGTTTACGATAAAAAGCTAAGCGACGCATTGTTATCGATAATTTATTAGATATATATAAGTGCCATATAAAATATATATGTGGGTACAGTTGTATGTATGTATGCAATAATGATCAATTTAGACAATTGTAAAAACGTCTTTTAGAATGTTGATGTACTTTTCAGCACCCTCGTTATTTGCCTCCTGATAATAGGGCAGCTCACTCAGACGTGCCAGCCAGGCAATAATCTTTGGATACTTCTCCGGATCGATAGGCAGCATGGCGGGCAACGAGGAGGCCGTTGCCGCACAGCAGAAATCGGCAATGGTCAAGGTATCACCGGTCACATAGGGATTATCGCCTAGGAACTTCTCCAGATGTGTGTAGCCATCGATTATGTTGTCGATCTTCTCCTGGGGCACCTCAGATACCTGCTTATAGAAGTATGGCACACATATGTTCCTCAGAGACATGAAGAGCACACTGGCATCGAAATATAGACGCTGCTCCAAATGCGCCCTCTTCACCAGATCCTTTGGATACAGCTCATCCGACTTGCCATACTTATCCACCAGATAGCAGCATATGGCATGTGAGTCCCAAATCAAAGTTCCGTCGTCATCCAACAAGGGCACAGTGTGCTGCGGATTCTTCTTCAGAAATTCCTCGGTCTTATGCTCGCCAGCAAGTAGATCAACATTCTTGTACTCATAGGGCAAGTCCAGGGCCCGAAGTGTCAGCAAACAGGCACGCACTGGAGGACTAATGTCAATGCCATAGAGCACTATATTCGACATGGCGAGACAATAATTGGGAACACACAAAACAGAACACAAAACAATCAACAATTGCAATCGGGGCGTTGCCGGCTACTGTTTGTGGCAGTGCAACTTTTGGGGCTTCATATATGCCGGTCGAGCTTTTTATAGAGCTCTCGGACCGTCCATAGGGCGCTATGTGCTATGAGAGAGCTTTTCAAGCCGCACTCAGTAAATTAATTGAAATAAACAAAATTGTTGCCTATGTACACTCAACTAGTAAGTCATTCGAAACCCAGCTGCAAAACTCATTTAATAAACAATTAAAGTATATACTGTGAAATTCCACTTAAATAAAACTTGTATATATTTTTAGCTACACTCAACTTCTGTTTGAAGAATATCTCATTACTAGTGTAATATCTTATCAGTAAACGCATTAACTAAACCAAAAAGATAAGGCAATACAAATGAATGAATATTTGCAGGGCGAACCAACAATAATCGCAATATGCCGGCCATGAGATCAGGCCAATTAATTTTTATTCAAAGCATTTGCAATTAATTGCATTCAAAATGTAAATAAAAGCGCGCCCAAGAAAAACAGTGTTGCCAAATGCTGTCTGGGCAGTACTGCATAATGTCACCAACTAGCACACACCTGCAAGCAGCGAAACGGGAATAAACACAGTTGCGAAACATAAAATACCCTGCAATGCATATAACAGCATGCAAAATGTTAAATATAGCTAAATTAAATATAAATAAAATGCATGTAACTGTGAAAAGTATGCAAATAAAGTGTTAACTTAATATTATTAGCAGCAAATATTTGGGCATTTAAGACATTTAAGACGCCAGCAATTTTGCAACTTACCCGAATTCCCACGAAGCGATATACCCACTGCAGCAATGTTGACAGGGCATAACAACACAGTCTTTGTGCAACGCATTTTCTTTACTATCAACCAATTAAAACAGAAAATTGAACATTTTCCATGCCAAACAATAACTAATTGCACAACAGCCCCAACCAGCAGACACTGTAGGTGCCGCAACGCCTCGTCGCTGGACAAAATGACGGCGCGCAATCCCCAAACATTGATGGCGCTGCCCAGCGAGGAGAATTTCGATTTTCTGTTCAAGATCGTGCTAATCGGGGACTGTTGCACGGGCAAAACATCCATATTGCAGCGCTTCAAGACGGGCAACTATGTGGAGCGGCACGGTAACACAATTGGCGTCGATTTCTCAATGAAAACCATTGAGGTTGAGGGCAAACAAGTCAAGGTAAATCTTTGACGAAAATGCCAATGTCACACACACACACACACACACAGATTGGGTTAAATGTTGTTGTTTCATTGTTGTAGCTACAAATCTGGGATACTGCCGGCCAGGAGCGCTTTCGCACCATCACCCAGAGCTATTATCGTGCCAACAATGGCGTCATAATTGGTGAGTAAACCCACCAAACGGTTACGCTCCGCGGTAAACGTTATCATGACCCGCGCGCCTTCCGTCATGGCCCGTTCAGGCGATAAGGCGTTGTGATTTTAATGGCCATGCCGTGGCACATTCGCCGTGCACTCTTATCAGAATGCCTATTAATAATGTGCTTGTCTTTACAACAGTTTACGACATCACAAAGCGATCGACATTCGCCAATTTACAGAAATGGATTGAGGAGGTGCGCAGATATACGGCATCCAATGTGCTGATCATATTGATTGGCAATAAATGTGATCTCGAGGCGGAGCGTGAGGTGGACTTTGAGGAGGCGCGCCAAATGTGTCAATATATACCTGAAATTCTGTTCGTTATGGAAACATCCGCCAAGGAGAACACCAATGTGGAGGACGCCTTTCGCTGTCTGGCCACCGAACTGAAGGTCTGCTGCACACTAATCCTTGCCGCTATTTGTCCATTTTATTAACATGCTAATTATCCTTGTGACAGCACCAACACGATGCCAGCAGCGTGCAGGAGAATCTGGACGACAACACCGTGCAGCTGGGCCAGAGTAAGCCGCTCAAGAGTTGCAGCAGCTCGTGCAATCTCACATAGACATCTCCAATCGATTTGGTTTTCGTTCTCTTTTTTCACTTTTATTTTGTGATCATATTTTCGTGTGGCTATAATTTAGTATTTATATATATATTTATATATACACATATATATTTATATATATGTTTTAATCTTGAAACTGTTAATTGTTTTGTGTGCAAACTTAATTTATTCATTTAACATACATACAAACATTCATATTTATATTTATTTTGGTGGCTAGAGTACAAAACAATCTCACACATCAAATGCAAAACGAATTAACAACGTCAATTACAAATTAATGCATTAATGTTCAGTTCGTAACAGTAAAAATACGTCCAATTCTGTATGTGTAACGAGACAATTTTTTTTTGGAAATAAACTTGTTTATTTTATAAATTTATAATGGAAGTAATTAATTGGCTGCTTAGATCGTTAACATTAGCATTATCTTAGTACACACATATGAACCAATATATATATATTTTATATTTTACTGAGGACTTTCAACATAAATCTCTGTGTGTGTGTGTGTGTGTGTGTAAACAAAGGCAGGAGTCTTTAAACTAAAGCACTGTAAAAAACATTGGCTTGGCTTTCTCAACAATCGCAACGCTTACAGATTTCGTTCGTATAATTAGATATATATATATATATATATAGATATAGATATATATATATGTCTTTACATGTTACAATTATATCAAAATTGATTTATTTGTCTAAATTAATTAACTATAAACTAGCGGCGTCCGTGTGTGTGTCTGTCATTTGTTCTTAATGCGCTGCGCAACCCATTCGAGTCCCTGATACAATCCCTCGCCGGTCAGCGCACAGCACGCCTGGATGTGCCACTGGTGCTTCTTGATGGAGGTCAGGTCCAGTTGGCGGGAGATTTCTGCGGCGGACATTGCGCCCTTCAGATCCTGCTTGTTGGCATAGACCAGCAGGCTGGCTTTGCTCAGGTCCTCGTGCTGTAGCATGCGATAGAGCTCCTCTCGTGTGACGGCCAAACGTTCCCGATCCGTCGAATCGATGACCATAATGACCAGCTCTGTGTTGGTATAGTATGTGCTCCAGGCGGCGCGCAAACTCTGCTGCCCGCCCAGATCCCATACCAGAAAGTGTATATTACGCCAGACGACCTCCTCAACATTGGAGCCAATCGTTGGACTGGTATGGACCACTTCGTTCATCAGAAACTGGTACAGTATTGTTGTTTTGCCCGCATTGTCGAGGCCAACCATTACCAGTTTGTGCTCCTCGTTGCCAAACATACGCCACAGCCGTGACAATAACAGGCCCATTTGAAATTTGTTGTTAGTTTTCGCGCGCGGGTGTGTGGAACGAACGTATTACTTGTTAATTGGTCACCAAAAATCACAATCGCAGGTATCGCAATCTATGCGCATATATGCATATGTATAGATGTCTGTTTCTGTGTACGCGTGTTTGCGCCTGTGTGTGTGTGTGTGTGTGCGTAAGCGTGTGGGTCGTTGTCGTTCACGATGCCTTTGTTGTTGCGCAGCGGAAGGCCAACTGTAAATTATGCACTCACACTCAGCTCGTCTGGTACGCACCACCACAACAGACGCTGCACTTGGCCGTTTGTGAAATTAATTATTATTGGCTATTTTTATCACTGGGCAGACACTTGTTGTTATTGTTATTGTGATTGCACGTAGATTTAGTAGTAGGCTTTGCTTCAGATTTTGTGTTGAAACAAAAAAAAAAAACTTGCTCACGATTTCAGCTAGAGATGTGCACACCATATCGATATATCGTTATGGCGATGCTGCGATATTTATAGCATAGCCAACAATCGATAACTCCTTCAAATGGCACTGCTAACAACGATCGTTTTAAGATGTTTCTGATATAAACATGTTTTATTTTTGGAAAAAATTTGATTGTTTGATAAATGTGGAATAGCCTAAAAACAAATTTCGCTAAGGTAGCTACATCATCAGAGCGACAGTCGTCTTTTAAGAGACGACCAACAATAGCTAAAGAAATATTTTTGAATTCGCAACGCTCAAAAACCGTTCCTTTAACCCATGTTGTCCACACTTTTTGTAACGTATCTTTCATTTTGAAAGCCGACATATATACTTTAATATATTTTTTCAGTTAGAGCTTTGACATATTGTATAGAGCTTTAATAACTTCTGAACAGCTTCGAGAATAATTTCAAAAAAAAAATTTCAAGTTTTCAGCTTACGTATTGTTAATAAAATGGATGTCCTCGAAACATTCCTAACGTGCTACCAGTTCCTGACGGATCCCATAACAGATCTAGATCTGGATCTGGAGTTAACTGACAAAATTGCCGAAAAATGTGAAGAATTTTTGAAAAGAAAGCAACCGGTTAAGCCGCGTTTTGTCAACATCGATAAATATACCAAAAATGAATTAGTTATGATGGACGAGCTGATACCCTCGCCGAACGTAGACCACATTTTGGAGTTGGCCATCGATGGGTTAATTGGCGACATTCACTTTTAAGTTACAGCAACCAAATTTACGTATATTTCAAATTGCAAAAAAAGTGTATAGAAAAAAATTAATCGTTTCATAATTACAAAGAGCCCAAAATAAAGCCCAATTAACATTTAAAAAATATGAATAAGAAAAAATTACAACAGAGAATCTAATAAATGTAGCACTCAAGAATCACTAAACATTCCCATATTTTACAAATCTTAAAAAAGAGCAGGGTACAAATGCGTCGACTAGGGCTTTGCGTAGGGCCTTCTAGACTTCGGCTTCCGGATGTGCCGCTGGGCCTGTTTCTGGGGCGGCGCCAGCTCGTAACGGAATATTATGCAGCGTCTGTCGAAGAAACTCTTGAGTTCCTTGGGCTCATAGCGCTGGCCCAGCTGCTTAAGATACAGATAGATCTCCTGCAGATCGATGGGCTCAAAATGGAGCACACGCTCGTGCAGGTCGGGATTGGCACAGAGCAAATTGTGCCAGGCTATGTGCAGCGGCAGCAGCGGCTGCGGCGTCTTCTTCGAGACATTTGTCTGCAGCACAAAGCACTCGAAGTCGTCGCACAGCGCCGGCGGCGCATCTTGCGAGTAGCGCAGCAGCTCTGCTCCGGCGGCGTCGCGAAATTTGAGAGCCGCTTTTGGCTCCGCTTCGTCGCTGCTGGCGAGTCGCAGCCGCCCGTTGTCAGATTTGCCAGTGCCGGCGTTGATGGGCGTGGATTTGGAGCGCGGCATGGCCACTGGCTCGGTCATGGTCACTGGCTCGGGCAGCATAATCGGATGCGTTTGATTGTATATGTATTCCAGCAATTTGACAGCCTGTTTGCGTTTTAGCGGCTTGATGCCACAATTGTACAGCTGCTGCAGCAGCTCCGCATCGCTTAGATGCACAAAATCCGGTTTGGGTGTGCGACAGACGCGCACCTCGTACACCTGACCATTGAGCTCCAATTGCTCCCAGGAAGCTGCTCCCTTGGCCGGACTGGGCGGCTCCACAGCTGCGGCTGGCGGTGGCAAGCTCTCCGCATTGATCTCGCCCCTAAGCAGTTGATCCAGTCCACTTGGCATAGTGTCTATTGTTCCATCTTTGCTGCTGTTTTGGAACACCAGACGATCAAAATCATCCAGTTCATCGGCTGGCTCCGAGATATCGTTCAGCAGCTCTTTAAATTTATGGGTGCAGCTGCTGGAGTAGCGTTTTATTGGTACCTCCGGCGGGGTCTCCAAAAAGGATGCGTCCGTCCAGTCTATTGGCACTTGGCACGCCTTGTCCGGCGAACTCTGCAGCTGGGAGAGCGTAAAGGGCTGCGAGATGGCTGCGTCCAGTATGCCAAACTCGGCGCGTTCTTTGCTCAGAGCACTTTTGTTGGGCGAACGCGAATTGCAGGATTTGTTTGAGGGCGTGGGTGAAGCATCCAAGTAGGCATCCAAGTCCTCCACAGTCTTGAAGAACGGCACGCTTTTGATTCTTGTTAAAGGCAAACTTTTGCTATCATCGAGTGCCTCGCGACATGTTTTGTCCGCCTTCCAAATGGAATAATTGATTTCCTCATCGGAGAGCAGAACATTATCCTCCTCGTTATCCTCATCGCCGCTGTCTTGGGTCAAATCAATGCTCGCATCCGAGTGACTTAAGGGCAAGGCAGAGGAGTTGCATCGCCGGCTCAGCGGACTCTTGAAACTCTGCTCCAGTTGAGCGGCCTGTCCGGGCGACTGTGTTAGGCTGCAGCTGCGCTGGAATGCATCTCGTGTGCTGTCCAATTGGCTAAAGTTGAGTACTGAGTCCTGGAAAGCATGTGAAGTTGTGGCCATGTTGCACGATGAGCTGGGATTTGTTTTGGCGGAGTCATTTCTGCTCATGTTAAGGCACTCGTTCTTCAGCTGGGACTGATCCCTCAAACTGCGCTCAAAGACTGCCTCATCCCGAGCTGTTTGATAGGCGTACTTTGCATATAACTCATCAGAAATTTCACAATCCGCCGCCTGGCCGCATAAATCCTGCTCCAATACATCGACATCTTCATCGAAATCTATGATTGGACTCTGCGGAAAGATGTGCTGCTCGAAAAGGGATTTACTTGAAGTGTTTTCGGGTGAATCTTGCTCTGCGGTCAAGTCTATAAAGCTTGCTTGAGAGGATGCTACAAAGGGCATAAAGGATTTATTTTGTGCACTTTGAGGAATTATCGAGAGAGTGCTCACCTTGAAGACTTCTACGCTCCGCTTTAACATCGTGGACAATCTTCACTGAAAGCAAGAGATTCTTTTTTTAGTCAGTTATTAATAATTTTCTTAAGTCTAGTTAAGTTAAGCTTCGGCAAACCCAAAGATAAATGTTATTGTTCTTGTTTTCCTTTACCTTCATCGCTGGAGTACAGCTCATAGCTGTTCATATCGGTCGAGCTTATATTCCTGTAGACCTTTAAGGAAAGGTTTTGCATCTCAAGAGCAGCCGCCGTGCTGCACGTGGCAGGCGTTTCACTCGCCGGCTCATCATCATCTGAATCCGCAAAGAGATCGGGTGAAATGCAGCGTGTGCTTTGCGTGGGTAGGCTCAGCATAGCTGAGGTACTGGGTTGCAGGTTCTCCTTTTCACTGTGCATCTCCTGCTGTGGCATCATTCTGGCACGCTTATCGGGCGGCTCTTTCAGCGGAGAATCGCTGCTTAATGAGATTTGCACTTGATCAACCGGCAATTGGTTGTTGTCATCTGCTTTATCAGCTGCCATTTGGTTAGCTTGCTGCACAAGATTGTCAGCCAACATTTGACTAACATCCTGTATCATATTATCGGCCACCAGTTTTTCCAGCTCATCCAACTCCTCCTCCACTGCACTGGCACCAAAATGCGCCTCCAGCTCTGCGTA